GTCCTATCTATATCTAAGCTGGTATCCACTCTATTCGGATCAGAGGTTTGTGCTTCGTTGTCCACTTTCGATCCTTCTTGCAAGCGGATTAGTTGGCTGTAAGCCCCTTCCGGATCTTTGGTCAACTCATCATGAGTCCCTATAACCAATCCAATGGAAACGCTAGCTTAAGGATCTCAAGTGTGTCAAAAATTGAGAATGATAGCATAGGCACGCGTGTTGTCCTTACCTTTTTCCACAATTTTGCCTCTGTGCACCACTGCTATGCAGTCAGCATTCCTAATAGTTGTCAACCGATGCGCAACAACTATGGTTGTGCAAGTTGACATCAAGTTCACTAGTGCATCTTGAACAATCTTTTCGGACTCAGCATCCAGCGCGCTTGTTGCTTCATCAAGAAGAAGAATTCTCGGGTTCTTTAGAATGGCTCTTGCAATTGCAATTCTTTGCTTTTGTCCACCGGATAGAGATGTCCCGTGCTCACCTACCATTGTGTCAATTCCCTGTAAAGAAAAGCAGGGTTTCATATTACAGATACCAATCTCCGGAAAAAAAAAAAATGTCAAAGCAGAACTTTATAAGAACATGAAAACTTTATAAAGTCGGTTTACCTGGGGTAGCTTATCAATGAATTTTGCAGCATTTGCAAGCTCAGTTGCTCTTCTAATCTGCTCATCAGTTGCATCATCCTTCCCATATGCTATGTTCTCCCTTATAGTCGTTGTAAAGAGATTTGGTTCCTGACTAACCAGCCCGATCTTCTCCCTTATCGCTTTAAGCTGCAACTTCTTAAGGTCCACGCCATCTATAAGTACTTCACCGGCTTCTGGATCATAAAACCTTTCTACTAGCCCAATCACTGTCGACTTCCCGCTTCCACTCTCCCCAACCAAAGCAGTGGTTGTGCCACTTGGAACATATAATGAGAACCCAGCAAAGATCGGCACGTCTGGTCTGGCAGGGTACCTGAAATACACGTCTCTGAGTTCGACTTCACCTTTGACATCTTCCAATACAATTCCACTTGTATCGTAGGGATCGATAGTTGGATTTCGGCTGATGGTCTCAAACATTTTATATGCGGCAGCTTTCCCTGATGCAAATGCATTCAAAGATGGTGATGCCTGACCAAGTGACCTAATGTTTCAGAAAGTGAAAATGTCATCATCTTAATTCACAAAAAACATTTATGAAAGCTAGTTAAGCATGCACATTGAACATGGTTCTATACAATGCACAATATATCATGCCATTACCAAATCAGAAAACCAGTAAATACTTACTGTCCACCAATCATGACTGCAAATATAACATTTATGACTTGGCCTCCATTGTATCCTCGCTTGATGATCAATTGGGCTCCATACCATACCGCAAGCGCGTATGAGCTGAAGATGACAAGCATTAATATTCCAAGCCCAAGCCCTGTGACTAGCCCTTGATGAACCATAGTATTGTAGGCAACTTTTAGCTTCTGGTTGTACTTTTCAATTGCTTGCTTCTCCCCAGTGAAAGATGCAACCTGAAACACATTTTTTTGTTTTTCAAAAATCAATTAATTAAGATAGCATGTAATTAGTTATGAACTCTGAAGAGTTAAATTAAGGAGGTTTAGCATCAAGGCCTTACTGTTCTAATGGAACCAACTGTTTGTTCTACTATATTGCCAGCTTCTGCATACGCAGACTGTCCGCGAGACGACATTTTCGACATGATAATAGCCATGATTGCACCAGCAATGACAATAGCGGGAATGGTTGCTAGCAATACAACGGTGAGGCGCCACCCTTTGACAAAAGCAATCACAAAACCACCAAGAAAAGTTGAACAAAGTTGGATAAACTTCCCCACCTGCCACAAATTAACAAACCCCTCATTATATATACATACATACATATGTGTGAAGTTGAAGACCAAATGAAACCGTAAGACTTCTTCACAAACAAACCATTCAAAACTCCCTTCCATTGTCATAAGCACTTAAAAGCACCGTCTTGGACAGAAAAATAAACCCCTGGACTCAACTATTATTACGCCATTGCACTACAGATGACGGGTCTTCCTCTAAAGTTTGTTTTTCTAAGTGTTTTCACTAACATTGTAAGGTGTCGACGGGGAACAATCTAACACTTTTCAGTCTTAATTAGAAGTTAAACCAAAAACAAGGTAGCTTAATTAGTAAGTTAATTACCTTTTCCCCCATGGCTAATTGAATAAGAATGGTGTCCCCAGACATCCTGCCAATGATCTCTCCAGTGCTAGTTTCAGTGTCAAAGAAGGCAATGTCCTGCCTTAGGATTGCCTTCATGTACTTGCCTCTAATTCTAGCAGCCTGCCTTTCTCCTGTCACCATCCAACATGCCACCTCTACAAATTCACAGAAACCCAATTAACAAAGTAAATAAATTTATGAGATAACGAAACCCAATTAACAAAGTAATTAAATTTATGAAATAATTAACAGAAATAAGAAGAAAAATAGAAGAAAATAATTTAGGAAATCATTGAGGCTTACGTAGAAGTGCCGCAGCTCCAGTGCCAGTGGCCAAGGACACAAATTGTAGAGACACCTGCAAAAAATGGTTCAGAAAAAAAATGACTTGGAAAGAAGTACACGCATGCGAAGAAACCTAGAAAAAGTGGTTTTTGGTTGATAAAAATATATATTTTTCTTTGGTTAAAAAAAAAAAAAAAAAAGAAGAAAAAATGAAGATGGATAAAAGAATAGGGTTCTTCTGAAACTCTTGCAAGAAACGCAAAGAAAGCTGTAGACTCTTTGAATTCTAAAGATTTTCGGTGTTTCTTAAAACCAGTTAGAGAAATAGATGTATAAGTTTCCAAGATTTCTTGATTCACTAGAGTCCATATAATTAACTTGTTCGTTATATGATCGCTTTACCATAACCAATCAAAGAACCCAGAAAACTCAGAAACCATGATCAAACAAAAAAGCCCAGAAAATTCAGAAACCAAAAATCTCGTTGTATTCGGAAGAAAAGAAGAAATGAAAGCCAGAAAACCAAGAATCTTGACGTGCTTGTAAATTTGTAATCAAGAACATGAATGCATGTATGTATATGTATTTGTACCTTAGAGACCATGGTAACGATATGACCAGGATCGGTGGAACCAAAGGTGTTGATAAGATTGCCAAACACAAGAGTCATGATCGGCGGCGACAGTCCATTCCCCACGGCACATATCGTTCCAACGATCATCAACGCAACGTCCAAACGGTCTGCAAACGAGAAGAGCTTATAGAAGCCGACTTCCTCCTTTTCTTGAACTGCTTTCGCTTGTGACCCATTATTATTATTAACTTCTGCGTTTCCATCTCCTCCTCCTTGTCCTCCTTCCATGGCTGTTGCTCGCATTCGAAGAAGACGCTCTCTCTCACTCTCCTCTCTTTCTAGGGCTCTCTCTCTCTCTCTCTCTAGGGCTCTCTCTCTCTAGATCAGATGATCGATTTCCTTTGTGGTTGTTTGATGAGTTGAATGGTGCAGGAAAACAAGTGAGATATCAACTCTTTTGGTATGGTGTGAGCAGGGCCGGCCGTGAGTGTTTAGGGTCCTGTGCAAAACTTAGATGGAGGTCCTTCATTTTTTTTTAATGTTATATTTTTTTAGTATTATTTTTTTTCATTTTTTTCATCTATAAAATTAAAATATTACAAGTTACTACATTAAAAATAAGTTGTTTGATCGCCCATGTGTTTTTCCTTACCTTCAAAGGTCTTGAGTTCGATACACGTTGGATGTGTTTTTGTTATTGTTATCTCCTTTTAAGTTTACAAATTTGCAAAAACTTAAAATAGCAAAACAATATCACAGGGATTTGAACCCAGCACAACATATATAAGGAAAAAAAAAGCTAAACCGCTAGCACTAGAACCACATATAACATTGTCTTTTGCATCTACTCTATTTTATATGCATCTGTATACATGTAATGAAAATTTGGGGACCCTTCTGAATCAGGGGCCTGTGTGGTGGCACATGTTGCACACTCTCAGGGCCGGCTCTGGGTGTGAGATGGAAATGGAAGAGGAGTTTGTGTAGAACTTCGACAAGTAGTGGTTGGTTAGAGGAGCATTCGGCGTTTGGCTGCAACATATCATCAGAGTCCTACTAATCAGCTGCTACGTTGAGTTTTCGCTTCCCCACTGTATGGCACTTGGTGAGAAAGAAAAGGCCGGAGTGCATGCATGGAAAAGCAACAGAAAAGGGAGAAAGAAAGGGACGGAGAGCATGGAAAAGCAACAGAAAAGGATCTGCCTGTGATAAATGTTACTAGATAATGAGAAATCTGCATTATTAATTATGTGGATTCTTAACAACATAGATTGTCCTTGTAAACCTAGATAAATCTAAAATAATTAAAACATTCATTTATAGTGAATAAAATGAACAAAAACGGTTCTTCAAACATATTCTAATTTATTTCAACTGTCATACGACTTCTAGTTTGGTAATTGTTGGCAGAGTTGATATTGAGGAAGACATAAAAGATAGGCAATTAGACATTCGTAGAAATACATTACCGAATGGTCTCCACAAAAACGTATGTTAAAACATGTGTAAAAAAAAGAATAAACATTTCGTTAGGACATAAACAATTACATCGTTTGATAATAAGGAAAGCAACATGAGTGATTCTTCTTTAATCGAAACACTAAAGCCTGAATCCCTTAGAAATATTATAGCAACTTAAGTCACAAGCTTCTTCCAGTTAGCAACAGTTAGTGTGATGATGAAGAAAGCAACGCGATTGTGTATTCTTCAATCGAAACATGAACCCTAATTAAAAATAGCATAGCAACTTGAGCTACAAATTTACTGTTACCAACGGCTAATGTGACATAACTCACATACAATCTCAACACTATTACGTTTGCTACATATTGAATAAATAAGAAAGTAAATTAAGTAATGGTATATAAAATATAGTCTAAAAACATAATCTCTTTTTTTTTCTTTTTTCTTTTTTTATTATAATTTTTTTGTTTTATAATTTTTTTTGCGTAAGCAGATCATCTAGAAGGCAAAAGGAGAAACTTCTTTTCCAACCATCATGCAAAGCTTATGGGGCCACCCTTTACTCGTGGGCCTGCCACAAACTGTTTAGAAGCCGAGGGTGTGCACAAAAGTGTGGAGATTATGATGGAAATATCGGTTAAATATTAGCGGAATTTTTGGAATTTTGATTCATTTTGCAGAATAAACTTGAGAACTGCATGGTTTTACGGATAAATTTTAAATAAGCCGGACTATTGGATAGTTCTTCAGTGAATACCTTTAAATTTAACGTTGCTTAACATAATTATGTGAATTGAAATTAAAAGAGCTGAAAATGACAATTTATGTAAATAAAGTGAGACAATTTCTTAAGGATTATTTTGTGGAATGTATTGGGATTATTATGACATTATGAAAAGTATGTAATTATCTTGAGCATTTTTTTATGAGTATTATGAACATGTTTCTTATATTAATACACTGCTTTAGAGACAATAACACCATGAGCATTTGTAAAATTATTAATTTGTTAGAGAAAATAAAAATGGTAGTACATGCTTCAAGAAAAAGACTAACTTAGCTACTTATGAAGACAATAACACCATATGTCATTTCTTATGCATAGGAATGAGAGGGAAAAATAAAATTGAGGATAGGAATTAGCGGGAAAAAATAGAGGGAAACGTTTGTTCGTTTTTAAAAAAAAATATATATATTTTCAGTTTTTAAATCATTTTTAAGAGTAAAATGAGTTAACTACCCTCACATGTTATGCACATGGTCTTACTTAACAAAAATATAGATGGAATATATGAAAAACTAACGCTAGGGGACAAAACAGCTAAAAAAATTAGTTTGAGTCCTTAATTTTACAATAGAAAAATTCAAAAGAAAAATAAAAAACTAATTGAAAATTCAGGGAGTAAATCGATAATTCACTCAAACTCTTTTATCTTATATGCCTATGGGATCGTGCAACGGAAGCCCAGTGCCCACTCTCAGTCAGTCCCTCTCTTTTCTCTCAAAACCCACAAAAACGCCACCTTTTAATTTCAAAGAAGCCACATTTCCCCTCTTTCCCTTTACTTCTACAGAGGAGAGTCTAGGGTTTAACAAATATGTCTTCTGCTTCTAAGTTCCAAGCCCACCGTGGCCATGGCCTTCCCCATTTTTCAGTGCAGTCCTCCGAGACCTGCCATGTTCAAGAAAGGTGCCTTCTTTATCTTCCTCATTTAATTAATTAACTAATTTGTTGAGCTGTAAGTTTGCTACAGATAAACTCATAACCCCTGTTTTGTGTTAGGCTTTTGAAGGTGTTTTGGTAAACAGCAAATGCTTGTTCGTTTTATTTGTGATAGTGAGTAATGGGTTGTGATTATTTTGTCGATTTGTAAGTTTAATGATCAGATTTCTTTCAACATACATTGTGGGGTTCTTTGATGCAGAGAGAGAGAGAGAGAGAGAGAGAGAGAGAGAGAGAGAGAGAGTGTGTGTGTGTGTGTGTGTGTGTGTCTCTGAGTTTTTCGATTTGTTTGTTTGATACAAGCAATATTGAGGGAGGGGAAATCGAACTTAGGACCTCGGGTGAAGGGGTAAACGCTCTTATCGCTTGAGCAACAAGCCCCTTGTTAGTCCTTACATTGTTAGGTTTGTTTGACAATGCTGATTTTCATCCAAAATTTAGATCTTTAAGGAATTTAAGAGAAAAAGATCATGTTCATGTGGGCTTCTTTTAACTTGTCCAGTTTGTTTTGTATTCCTAGTACATTACCGTGATGGTGATGTATACAAATTCTAGAAGGTTTCTTGTATTTGTGCTATTGAATGCTAGACATACGTTGCCTAATCACGACTTCAACTTCCTTTATGGATTTATGCTGAAGAATTCGATACAGTTATAACAGCAGGTGGGAAATTTGACCATTAAGATGAATTAGTTAGAGGATCGAATGTCATAACTCTCACATGTGGCTTAGATGGGGAGGATATCGTTAGGACCGGGACAGAGAGAGGAGAGGCATTGCGATTTGTTGTACAATGAATGTGCAAAACATGTGCAAAAGCTAGTAGATGTCAACGCGGTTTTTGTCTTGTTTTAATATTCGATTTCAGAATCTGAAAATCTCTAATGAGCTTTCACGTACATTTTTAGTCTTTTAAGTATTGAGACCTCTAGGCTCTAGGCGTATATCTCTATCAAAGCATATTCATTTATACCTTAGTCATACGAAAGCATATGCATTTGTACCTTATTGTTAGAGTGGGCAGTGACTAATGGGTATGGAAGCATATGCATATGGACTGTGTTGCAGTAAACATATGTCATGATCGAGGAGATAGTTTTACAAGAAAAGAGGAAAAGATGATTGAAGCAATGACATAACAGTTAGAAACTATTTTCCACCTTTAATACCAGTTTGGGTTGAAACTTTCTGTAAAATTTAGTAGGGATTTTCTTTGCTGAAGTCAAGGAGTTTCCGTCTTTCTTTGTATTTCCAAGTGGTTTTTTGAGCTCAGTACATCGGGATTAATGTTTTGAACTAGTTCGGTTTTCTTTTGTAGTTTATTCCTTGGCCAAAGCAACTAGGGTCAGATTTAGTTGAACTGTATTCAATGGTCAAGCCTATGTAACATATATAAACTATGTACTAAAGACATATCTAGTAGCTCGTGACAAGATATCTACAAGTGTGCAATGCATTCTCGCCGTGGTTTCATGCCCAAGAGCTTGATATTTCCAACAAAAAATTTAGGTAATAGGCTTGAAGAGAAAGAATCACAAGTTTTTCGGGGTCATATTGCTTTCTTATAACCTCCTTGTTTTTAACACATCACTTAAACCTCCTGATTTCACGTAACTTATGATGAAGCATAATTCATCCAATGATTCGAATGCGAGAATTTGGAAAATTATAGAAACAGGTCACTTTTAGGTTCTTCAAATGGAGTAATTATTGGTTTTGTTCAGATTAGCAATGCTTATTTATCACTGCTAATTTGTATCTAGTTTTCGTTTACTAACACTTGTTCTGTTTGATCAATTTAGGTTCAGGGACAGTAATGGCTGCTCGAAGGAACATGATCCCCTCAAACATTGTAAATGAAAGATTTTCTCGTTAAAGGTACTGTTGTTGGGTTTATGTATTTGAAATACATAAAGGTTTGACATAGGGAATGAAGCCGATTGGTCCGTGTAGCATAGTTAGAAATCTAATATTCACAAATTGTTGTAAAGTGCCATCACATTGACATACTTTTTTGGATAGTAGATTTGGTGCTGCAATTTCTGGCTTTAGGCTTATCGTAATAATTTGATATCTAACTCGCAATTTGCAAGTGGAGGGAAATATCACGGAAGTCTATTTTTACCCTGATCTCCTTGCATGATATGACAAGGCTCTCTTTACAAGTTTACATAGTTTCTTGGTTTTTGTTATGGCAAGTAGTGACGATTAGACTTCCCTTAGACCTGGCTGCCCTTGCCGCCTTCTTGGTTATGAATCCTGAAGACATCTGTGCATGATCTAGTTGGCGTGAAAAAGATCCCCCGAAGAAATCTGCAACACCTGTTCTCTTGAACAATGCGGGTCTCTCTGGGGTAATGAGGCTCGGCGCAGGCCCCGTATCTCTGTCCAGTTTCGGGCTGTAAAATGTGGCTATGGACAGCCTCTCGATCTCACGATTAACCGTTGCACGATGTTTGATGCTGCGGTAAATTCCATCTGTCACAATCTGTCAAACAAGAGAGACATCTAGCGAATGTCAATCTAAATTATGCATTCAAATTAACAGCCTAATAACGTAACATATGATATTGTTTGGCAATAAAAGCATTATTCAGGGGTTTTAGAGGAACCCAAGTCCCATCCTTTTTTTTTATCTGAAGGCCTTCGATTTCATTGACTACGATGACAACGTCCGAGCAAGGGTCGAGGCCAAAGGCGAGCCTAACGGTAAATTGAGAAAAAAAAGCATTTCATTAAAAAAATAGAGAGTAGATTCTTGAGGTGTTCACGGGAAGAAAAAGACTTAATAGGAAGCGAAGTCGAAGTCAACTTATTCAATCGAAAAGATGAACCTAGGGTCTATTGTTGGAGATGCTCGTCTTAGTTAAAAGTGTGATACCATCTTTTGAATCATATTTTATAAACCATATGATGTGTAGGTTGATGGTTTTGAAACCTTCTATTTAGACCATATTTTTTGAGTCATTAAAGATGGAATCCAAGTATTAACCAACATACCATGTGGTCGATAACACGCCTATGCAATATCACTTCACACAACTAGTCAATATTATGTTGTCAATAACATATCAAGATGATTTTCGTATAACTTGCACAAAAACTATGCTACAATACTATAGTGCTATTTGAGAACATCGTGTTGAGAATGTATTTCAAATTAATGTGAGAATGGGTTTGCATGAACTTATAAATAAATTGAGATTCTACTATAAAAATTCGTCACTAGTGAGGGGCATGTTGAGAATTTATTCCGCATTGATGGGAGAATAAACCTTGCATGAGTTTATAAGTATGCCGGCTACTCTTCCATATTATCAATTAGTTTTATAATGAAATCTCAATGTTCTTCACATCATTACGATATTATTTTAACTTTGAGAATAAACGGTCATTTGTTTTTAATATTATTTTATACAAATACAATGTACCTGGATTTTAGATAAGGTCCAAAGTATTTCTTTGGTGCCTCCAATTGTGTTACTTGAACAAAAACAAACAAACAAACAAGTTGTACTATTTCAGACAGTGACTCACTAATTCTAGTAATGCCTTTAAGTTTAATATAACAAACAATGTCATTACGTCAAACACTTGTCTCCGGTAGCTATCGATATATGCATACAAATTAAATGGCACTGAAATATTCTTGACAATCTTTTTTTTAACTTGGCGGCAGCAATCGATCGACACCTGCAATCAATTGCACCGATCCCTTGAATTTGAGGGTTGTCCACTTTGAGGATGAGGAGGCATGACCATTATTGGTTTCCATCTTATCTAGAGAAACCAGATCACAAGTAGCTTTCTACTCTAATTTGGATATAAGGTTACGATCCAAATCTTAAACCTAGAATTAAACCGCTACACCGTGACTGATTTTTAAATCCATTCGATCTCTTAAAAGGATTACTAATCCTTGAACTTTTCAAGGAATCCTTCATCAATGGTTGTGAATGATTGATTTCTCTCAATCTTTTTGACCTTGGTTATGTAGGAGCAGGTCAGATAGATTGAGAAATAGAACCATATAATTTGATTCGTTTCTCGATAGCCAAAAAATACTTCCAACAAGATATATATCGAAGAATTAGTGCTAGATTATTTATCTGAAGCTTGGTCTAAAATTCCATAAAAAATTAGCTTTTATGATTACATTTGCAATAAGGCAAAGGAGTGGTTGTTCAGATTTCGCCTTTATAAAGGAACATAAGCTATAACAATTGTGTCTCCCCCTTCCAAAACAACCAGAAATGTTAAAAAAAAGTATGTCACGACGTGCAAAGCGTTCGTGCTCCTCTTTATCACTAAATATAGGATGTCCTAATTAACCACCCAACAAATATTCCAACCTTGTTGTCCATGGTGCATGTAGCGTATGTTTACTTATCATGAAAGGAAATGTAAGATATGAGTATCATTCTTATTTATGGCAAGTAGTGACAATTAGACTCCCCTTAGACCTGGCTGCCCTTCTTCTTGGTTATGAACCCGGATGACATCTATGCATGATCTAGTTGGCGTGAAAAAGATCCCCTGAAGAAAATCTGCAACACCTATCCTCTTGAACAATGCGGGTCTCTCCCCGGTAATGATGTTGTAGGTCCGTATCTCTGTCCAGTTTCGGGCTGTAAATTGTGGCTATGGACAGCCTCTCGTTCTCACGATTAACCGTTGCACGATGTTCAATGCTGTGGTAAATTCCATCTATCAAATGTGAGAGACATTTAGCTAATGTCAATCTAAATTATGCATTCAAATTAATAGCCTAATAACATAACATATGATATTGTTTGACAATAAAAGCATTATTCAGGGGTTTTAGAGGAACCCAAATACCATCCTTTTTTTTATCTGAAGGCCTTCGATTTCATTGACTACGAGGACAACGTCCGAGCGAGGGTTGAGGCCAATGGCGAGCCTAACAGTAAATTGAGAAAAAAAGCATTTCATTAAAAAAGAGAGTAGATTCTTGTGGTGTTCATGGGAAGGAAAAGACCTAACAGGAAGCGAAGTCGAAGTCAATTTATTCAATCGAAAAGATGAACCTAGGGGCTATCATTGGAGATGCTCTTATCTCAGTTAAAAGTGTGATGTTAAAGGATAATCTTTAGAACCATATTTTATAAATCATATGATGTGCAGGTTGATGGTTGGAAACCTTCCTTTTAGACCATATTTTTTGAGTCATTAAAGATGGAATCCAAGTATTAACTGACATAGCATATGGTCGATAACACACCTATGCAATATCACTTCACACAACTAGAAAATATTATGTTGTTGATAACATATCAAGATGATTTTCGTATAACTTGCACAAAAACTATGCTACAATACTATAGTGCTATTTGAGAACATTGTCTTGAGAATGTATCTCAAATTAATGTGAGAATGGGTTTGCATGAGCTTATAAATAAATTGAGATTCTACTATAAAAATTCGTCATTATTGAGGGGCATGTTGAGAATTTATTCTACATTAATGAGAGAATAAACCTTGCATGAGTTTATAAGTATGCCGGCTACTTTCCCATATTATCAATTAGTTTTATAATGAAATCTCAATTTTATCCACATAATTGCAATATTATTTTAACTTTGAGAATAAACGGTCGTTTCTTTTTGATATTATTTTATACAAATACAATGTACCTGGATTTTAGATAAGGTCCAAAGTTGGAGGATTTCTTTGGTGCCTCCAATCATGTTACTTCTTGAACCAAAACAAACAAACAAACAAACAAGTTGTATTATTTCAGACAGTGACTCACTAATGCTAGTAATGTCTTTAAGTTTAATATAAAAAACAATGTCATTACGTCAAACACTTGTCTCCGGTAACTATCGATACATGCATACAAAATAAATGGCACTTAAATCTTCTTGACAATCTTTTTCGAACTTGGCGGCAGCAATCGATCGACACCTCCGATCAATTGCACCGATCCCTTGAATTTGAGGGTTGTCCACTTTGAGGATGAGGAGTCATGACCATTATTGGTTTCCATCTTATCTAGAGAAACCAGATCACAAGTAGCTTTCTACTCTAATTTGGATATAAGGTTACGATCCAAATCTTAAACCTATAATTAAACCGCTACACCGTGACTGATTTTTGAATCCATTCGATTTCTTAAAAGGATTACTAATCCTTGAACTTTTCAAGGAATCCTTCATCAATGGTTGTGAATGATTGATTTCTCTCTATCTTTTTGACTTTGATTATGTAGGAGCAAGTCAGAAAGATTGAGAAATAGAACCATTTAATTTGATTCATTTCTCTATAGCCAAAGAATACTTCCAACAAGATATATATCGAAGAATTAGTGCTCGGTTAGCTGAAAACCATAGTTTATTTGAAGCTTGGTAAAAAATTTCAGAAAAAACTAGCTTTTTATGATTACATCGGCAATAAGGCAAAGGAATGGTTGTTCAGATTTCGCCTTTCTAAAGGAACATCGGCTATAACAATTGTATCTCCCTCTACCAAAACAACCGAAAATGTTCAAAAAAAAAAGTATGCCACGACGTACAAAGCGTTCGTGCTCCTCTTTATCACTAAATATAGTATGTCCAAATTAACCACCCAACAAATATTCCAACCTTGTTGTCCATTGTGGCCGTAGCAGATGTTTACTTATCATAAAAGAGAATGTAAGATATGAGTATCATTCTCATTTATGGGAGAGTAAAATACATATCATTTCCGCACACTATTCTCTCTATATAAACATGTGTCAATATAAAGGCATGTTTGCTTATCATGTATGAGGATGGGAATGACGGATGATTCTAATCTTATGTTTACTACGAAGAAATTTGAGGTTCTGTCATAAAATTACATGACAATATGAAAAGTTACACAATTTCTAATAAATCCTTACATAGTTTGATCCCTTACTGATGTGGGAATGCTCTAACCATATGAGCCGCATCAGTACTTTTGAATATGGGATACTGGAAAAAGAAAGATATCTCATTAACGTAGGAAGTGGTCCTTCAAGTCCTCATTCTAATCCACATGGTTTGACCACTTCCTTGATACATTCCCCATGTAAGGTTGAAATGCTTTGGATGAGAGATTAGTTTACTCTCGCATCATGGCTTTATTTTAATAACCCATTCTAATATTATCCACCAACAAATTAAGATCTATGTATATCACAAGAAATTTTTCAGTATATTGGAAACACAGTCTATTATATCAATTGTCATAATACAATTGGTTGTAAACTTAAAAAATAAAATCCAAATAATTATATTATGACACTTAGTGTATCAGACTGTGTTCTCGATACATTGAAAAATCTTCCGCATTTTAGGCTTTTGATGGTGGAGAGATTTTTCAGAATACTAGAGCACGGGTACATATGCCATATGTTCTTTTACAAGTAGAGCAATACTTGGGGAAGAAAAAAAAAAGAACTTTCTTTCACTTGTATAATTTCATATGACGTATTGCCTTGTATTTTAGCCACATTAAAAAATTTCTCCGTAGAGTGAATGGAATACATTGGTCTTAGGACCATGCCACCATGTCCAATATCGGGTTTAATTACCTCAATTGTTTGATAATCATGCATGTTGAATCCTCCAAGATCTTGGAAATTAAGAAGTATTTATTTCCCGCATATTTACAACGGCGACCGAGAATAAAATTATCACTTTATTTGATCATTTTTCTACTTCTTTCCCCTCGCCCTACAAATTGAGGAATGTACGTACGTGGATGCCCTAATCTTTTTTTTTTTTTTTTTTTTTTTTTTTTTTTAATATACGAAACCCTAAACATGTTAAGACTGAGACTTCAGTGGAAGGATTCTAATTCAACAAAGTGTGTTTGAAGACATGTTCTTGGTTTGTATTTACTACGCTTTAGTAGCAAGGAATACGAATCCTACCTCTTCGAAATTAATCGATTTTCGAATATGGATAGAGAACCAAATGCAAATCAGATTATACATATTTTGGCCATTGATTAAGTCCATTTCTTTGCTCTGGAAGGTCATCATCCACTAACTTTCGGATATTCTATTTAATCATGAATTCTTGGAATCAATATTAACCACTCCAAGAATATGTATTAATTAATTCCAAATTAGCTATCTAGTTAATCATCATAAAATACTCAAAGAACATTAGACAGTTAGCCCTTGGACCACTTCAAGGAGAGGTTTTTAAGTGTTCCGGAAACAAAGTTTGATACACAAAATGTTGCAATATAATTAGTTGAAAACTTGAAGAAAATAAAATTTCCAACATTTTGCATTATAACACTTGGTATACACAGCTTGTCACACTAAAAAATTTCTCAAAGAGATTAAATTGGCCAACTTGAGTTAAAAAACCATCATACTTGCATCAGTTGTATAAATTTGTGGTTAAAACATGACTAATTGCCATTCCAATTTCCAGCAGCATGTATGTCACTCACGTCAGTCGTAATCCTTAGCAATAATTAAGTATCTTTGGGGTCTTTTGATCGGATCGTTTCGATATGTAAATTGTAATGATACTTCACATCAACCTCTACATAACCTAAAACTATATACAACCTTTTTTTCTCAAATAACATGAAACATGCATGTGCCATGTATGATGACCCAAAAGAAACATGGCATACACACACACACACACATACTGTTTTGATAAACAGGGCATGTATAACTTTGACATTTCAGCAGAGAGTCCATCATGCATCCCAGAATCCCATGATATATAATATATACCCATGCATGCATAGCCTTCAGGCAGAAAAATTATTAGGTGATACTGTAGCACCAACCAGGACCAGTCTTGAGAGATTTTCAGAGCCTTGTACGAAATTTTCACTAAGAGCATTATTACGAATTTTTTTTTATCACGAACTGAAGATGCACATTAGTTCTTCGGCTCTTTTTTGATAAAATTATTTCAGCACAAGTATTTACATATATATTATAGTTAGTTGAATTGGCCATGGATTTTCATCTATGGGTCCTGGTTTCCAAACAATTGGTGCTGTTTTGAATTTTCCTTTTTTTTCTTCCTCTTAAAAATAAGAAAAATTAATAAAAAAAATACTCAAAAACTATGAGTTTTAACTATAAGGACAAAATAAAATATGTCAACTCTGCTAGCTAGCAATGGCACTGGCACCACCTGCTAGCTAGCTAGCAGTGCCGAGTGCTGCTACTGATCCACTAAAAATTTGACACATGTACAACTAAAATGCGTCAACTCTGTCGTTAACGCCCAATTACAATTACAAACCACCCTACCGGGTTCAAGCAACTCCATGCGAATACAAATAAGGACGAGAGAGTGAATTAGGGTTTAGGGTTGAATTGGTTGCGCTATAGTACTGCTTGGTATTGAAAAGGATCAAGAACGATGAAGTAGTTTCTCAACGAAGGCTGTTTGTTTAAGTAGGAAACTAGATCAATAAAAGTTGTGGAGCCCCAAAGGTTCTGATACCAAACCAAGACAAAAGAACAAAAAGATTAGAATTTCCTGAATTTTATCAGTGGATAATTACACAGGCAGCACCTTTTAATACAACAAACACGCAGTACCCAGATTTACAAGCGGTGGGTTGGCTTCCAATAACTCCCTCCGCCACCACCATTTTCAATTAGATAGATTTTCTCCCATCTTCAAGCTGTAGCTCACAAAATTGAAATCAATTGCGGCGGTGACCATGTCTGTCGCAATGGTTTCTTATTGTTAAAATTACATATTAATGAACACAAAATGCAGATAAAAAAATAGAGAATACTTAGCGATCTGAGTCTTGACCATTACCAGAATAATTTGACATCGTCCTTAGTATGTAACTGGACGTTAACAGCAGAAGCTAATTTGTTTTAGTTGTACACGTGTCAAACTTTTAGTGATGAATATCACCACTCAAAACTGCGAGCTGCTGCTGCTACGATACCACCTAATACCGTGGACACATGTATGGAAACGGCACCAAACAGTTTTTCGCCCGGCGCGGTGAAAATTTTCCATCACTGATGACGATCGTCCCACCATTCAATTAAGTGATCACTTGAATATGTCCGCCGAATCAAGACATTATTGCACCACAAATTGGCTCGTCCTAATCAGAAACGTGCTCTTAAGCTACTAAACAACTAATAAATACTCCATCAGTCAGACAACGTGTATTCATTTTCCAGTTAAATAGTACATAAAAGGTCAAGTCAAATTAGAGGTATCAATTTATACCGAAAAAAATGGATAATTAAGCACGTTTTTGTTCTCTAAGGATTAAATAATTCATTCCGTAAGTAGCAAGCTGTAGGTGAAAATGACATCCATGAGACACCCATCACGCAACCTTACATTGTTTAAAAAGAGAACAAAATTGTGGGGTTGTTTACTTTAGAAAATTAGATTGTCATCTCTGAATGAAAGTGTTATTTTTATTAAACTCTGATATTTGGTGGAATATTAATTTATAAAAAAATTGAACGTCTCCCTTTACGCAAGAGCAAAGAAAATTACATGACTTAGATACGAGGGTAGTATTATATGTCGGTTAAACGATAATATGCAGAATAAATTTACACGTATTATTATATAATGTGCAATGTTAACAGACTAAATTTGTAGACTAAATTTTGTAAACTAAATAAAATAGAAGTCGATAATTGAATTATTACTAAAGTATTCATTAATGTACTTATTTTTTTATTAATGATAGTTTGCAAATTTGATTTACATAATATAGAGATGACAGTGTAATCATGTGGTTAAATTCTTATCGGGGACAAGGACATGCACACCTAATTATTTTTTCGAGGAGGGTAATGTTTAATTAGTTGTGGGAAAGTAGGTAGGAGAAAAATAAATACGTGTACATAAGTAAATTGTATATATGCACTTACGTACCTACATAAAACCAAAATCAGAAGATCTTAAGTACATTTGGAATATTTTTTTTAGGAGTGTAATATCCACACATTTGCATTTGCATCCTTTCATACACTATGGCTTTTTTTTCACTAAGCCTGAGTGTAATTTCCCTTTTCCACCCGTTCCAAAATAAAAAAATGGAATATGTTTGAATTTCTAAGAAATACAAATTCTCATTAAACTTAGACATATACAATCATTTAACTTGATGTTCTACCAATAAAGCATAATAGATCATTTGAATTTTTTCCTTAGCGATTTGTTATAGCTAAACCTATATGTATGTATGTATGTATGTATGTATGTATGCTGATTGAAATATTATGCCAATTTAGTCAAGAGTCATCTATATAGTTAATGCATATAATAGGTTGTTTGTACATATTATAAATTAAATGTTCCCAAGCCTGCAACATGCATCTGGGAAGAGATTATCAATCACTGTTCAATCTATCAGCTGCCACCTTAAAGGATGCTCCCGCAATTCATCCTACATATTTTAACGGCAAAGTTTACAAAGCTCAGAGATCAATCCACGAATTATATGGGGGTGGAATATGCATTGAAAATAAACTCCTCTATTCACTCGAACGTATGATATAAAGACTGAAAATACACACTTGGATTTTGTTTGGTTCTTAATCTTAAAAACCAAAGCTAATTTTGATTTTTAATAACGACTCACAACTGTGAATTTAATTCTTAACGGATTATCAATCTGGGTGCTAATAGTTGACAATAATGCATGTGTATTTTGTATGATTGAACTCACTTCCCAGGGGAACTTGTAACAGATATGCAGGCAATATATATGGGATGTTTCTTTTCAGGTTAATTTTTATAGCTAACATAAAAGATGTAGACACCGGTTCATCTCCAATTGACGACGTGCATGAAAGGCGTAAATTAACGACGTCGGTCTTGCAGAAAACTTCAAATAGAAGCATTCGCCGAAAAACACCCAATGATTTGGACCAAGTAAAGGGAACAACACTTTAATTACACAACTATGCCCTAGTTTTTTAATAATTTGATATCAAGAGTTTTTCTCTCTCAATATTTGCAGTTTTTGCCCATTCGTTTTAGCCTATATAAACACCCATAACTTTGTGGTGTATATACACTTGAGCTCATTAATAAGAAATAAGAAATGGCATCACTATCGCAGCTCCCAGCAGGCTCTGAAAGCTCTAATTCGCTATTCAGCGTCATAGAGACCGCCAAAGAGCCCTTAACTTCAGTCCCACAATGTTACGTTCGTTTGGAACAAGAACCAACTCCATCTGAACTCTCTGATGATAATAAAGGCACCTTCCGCTCTATCCCTACCATCGACATGACGAAATTAGTTAAGGGAGAAGCCTCAGACTTTGCAAATCAACTGGAGAAACTGCACTCAGCTTGCAAAGACTGGGGCATTTTTCAGGTCTAAAATTGATCTTTCAAATTTGTTGGACTTAAATACTTTTTCTTAACATAGACACTAGCTAGTACTCCACTTAAATATTATATATCTCCTCATCAAGACAAGCTATAGTAGATTTACATGAATTTAATATCCGATGAACTAATAAATTGTAATTAAGATTTCATAGTTAAGCATAGCTAGTTAGATATATTGTCTTGTTTTATAGGGCTTTAATTTTTTTTTTCTTTCTATTTCTAATTTCTAGATTAATTTTTGTTATTGTGTAAACGAATTTTAATTTATTATTATATATATATATATATGTCTACATAATTTATCAAACTAAAGTTGGAGAAAACTCATAACCTTGATGTCCTTTTTTTTTTGTTCTTGAAGTTGGTGAACCATGGAGTTAACCCTATGCTGTTAGAGAATCTGGAACATGAGATTGAAGTATTCTTTAAGCTTCCCTTGGAAGAGAAAATGAAATATGCAATAAGGTCAGGTGATTTTGAAGGCTATGGAAACATAGCCAACACCAAAGACCAAAAGCTTGACTGGGGTGATAGGTTATTTATGATAACCAACCCTATTCATCGAAGAAAGCCGTACCTCTTCGCAGAGCTCCCTTCATCCATCAGGTCCTCTCTCTGATAAATCTTAAGCGCCTATTTGATAACCATTTCAGTTTTTTTTTTCGAAAACAAAATGAAACAAAAGTTGAAAACTTAAATGCAAAATGATTATGAAATGGCCCCTAAACTTGTATACAATTGTTCTCTTACGCATTCAAACACGCATGCACCCCGTTTTTCAAAATTTTTATTAAATTGACATATTTTCTTGGTATATACTAGGAATACCTTGGAGTCATACTTTATGGAATTGGACCAACTTGCCATGAGACTTCTTGGGTTTATGGTGAAAGCTCTGAAGACAGAGATGAGAGAGATAGAGGAGTTGTTCGATAAAGACGGGATGCAATCAGTGAGGATGACATACTATCCTCCATGTCCACAACCAGAGATGGTTATAGGGATCTCACCTCACTCAGATGTATCTGGGATCACCATCCTCAACCAGCTTAATGGAGTTGACGGTCTCCAAATTAAAAAAGACGGGGCTTGGATGCCCGTCAACTTCCAAAAAGATGCCTTTGTGGTGAATGTCGGGGACATCTTTGAGGTTTGTCCTGTATATACTTCTTTCCTCGCACTTCTTTTCTAAGTAAGTTTAGAACCGAAAATTTGAGTTTTACTCCCAAGCCTTAGAGTAGGTCTAAGGTTAGCAAACGTCGGATTTCGAATCTCTATATATGAGTGTGTGGGAATATTTGAAACGAAATTGTTCAGTACTATACAAGCACTAGGTGTGGACAATAATTAACTGTTGCATTTGATTTTAATGATCTAACTGAACTGAAGAAAGATTGTTACACTAAATTCAGCAGGTAAAATATGTAACTTTAAATATATAGGTAATAAACAACATTGGTGAAATTGAGGCATAAATTAGATAAGCTGCAGCAAAACACGTGAGTGCGGGCAGACAGAAAATTTGAGATTTGCATGATGTATGAGTACTCCACGCACTCGCGTTAGCAACAGGTAATACTACTTAAATAAAACGGTGCGTACTTGCTTTATCAATATTATTGGATTGGGCTGTAGAATGAACAAACCAGGCTGTGGAAAATTGGTTAATGTTAAGAAGAATGAACGAACAACGCAGCGGAAAATTGGTTAGTGTTAAGAAAAAAATTATGGAGATCATGTTTTTAGATTATATTTTGTGGATCACATAATGTGACGGTTGATGATTGGATTCCTTCTTCCACATCATGTAATCTACAAAATATAATTTAAGAGATGATCTTTCTAGTATCACTTAAGTGTTAATAAGTTGAGACTGTTGAGTTCGATCATTTAACAATAAAATAAAAACTTGAATCTATCATATTAGGACAATACTTGGCTTCACGACTTAAGTCCATGTTCTTTCAATGACAATGAGTAATCATTTCACATCGTCACTGGAGAAGGAATGACTTCTTATATGTAAAAAGTCAAATCGTTGTACCCATGCTATTGATTCATTTATGTTATTATATGTGTATTCATATGGTAATACTATACCTTAGATCATGGCATATATGGGGACACCAATATTAAGGAAAATTTATATTACATTTGCAGATGCTGAGCAACGGAGTTTACAAAAGCATTGAGCACAGGGTAATGGTGAATTCAGAGAAAGAAAGGGTGTCGGTTGCGATGTTCTTCAACCCTAAATTTGAGGCAGAGATTGGGCCACTCAGAAGCTTGGTAACCCCAGAAAACCCACCACTGTTCCAAAGGGTTGGGATGGAAAAGTACATCAACGATTTCATCTCCCGCCGTAGGCTTGATGGAAAATCGTACTTGGAGCAAATGAAAATCTAAAATGCTTGATTAATGACTGATCGATCACTTATTTAATCGATGAGTTATTAATCAAGATATATAGTACTATATGGTGTGACAATAATTAATGTTGTGCATATATATATGCATATGCTTTTCCAAATACGTGGATTCTGGAAACTGGGAATGAATCATACTGCTATGAAATAAGGCGCTCTTTGTACAGCAAGAAAGCCAGCTTCTATTTGGTATGTTGTGTATCCTATATAGTAAAAGTGAGAAAGGAAATAAAATGTGTGGTTGTTCTAATAAAGAGATGATTATTGTGTTATATATCGTTTTATATCTTATAAAAATCCCTGATTAAGTTTTATTT